CACATTCCAGGCAGTAGAAAGGAATAGTGAGTGGAGGGCCAAAGGGGTATGCACCTGCTGGAATGAACTGTCTTCCTTTGAGGACACATAAGCCACCAAGATATAAGCAATACTTCTGCTTAGATCTCATTGGCTTATACTTAGTCACATGTAATTCTTAGTCACAGGGAGATTGGGAGTGACTTTTGGCTGAGTTTGTTATTTCAAATAAAATTAACATTCTGCTCTGTAGGGAATAGAGAATGCATTTTGAGTAGATGGTTTTATCACAGTCTCTATCATAGTTTGCTTATAATTGCATTTCAACACCAAATGTATTTGTATTAGATTCAGAACTTGTACCTTTCCAATTTTACCTTTGTTTCCTGTCCTTTTTCAGAAGATAGGAATTTTTCTAGGATAGGGAGCAATTTCACTAATCCAATACTTAGATTTCTTATAAATATGATTAAGCATATGAACATGCCATACTCCTAGAAATGTTTCAAGACTTAGTGCCCATAATCAGCAAAGAAAGCTATATTCTACTTTATCTGTTTAGTAAGTTCAAAATTCTGATGTAACATTAATTATCCTGTACTTAACACTAAACATGACTGCATTCATTATTTGGTTGAACACCTATATGCCCCTCAAAAGTTCATTCTGATAAAATGGGCCTTACAGTAAAGTTATCATTTTCTGCATATTCATATACAGCAATTGGGAAACAAAAGGATACAATTAAAATGTTTCCAAAATATTAATTAAATGCACATTAGTAATTCCTAAGGTAAACTTCAAAAACTTAGGTTTTCCCAAAAAGTTTTAAAAAAGAAAACTAACTCTAGGAACGAAGAGGGGATTGCCTTTGATGTTTCTGAGAAGCTTAAAAAGCACTGTGAGAATCACCTTTTTGGAATGAAGCATGAGACTAATAACACTGCTCCACCTCTTGCAGGGACATTTTTTTCCTTTTGAATGCTCAATTGAGAACACGCCTGTTAGAAAGCTCTCTGTAGTCTGGATTTTCCTTTTTTCTGCTAATTCTGTTATTATGTAAATCACTCTCTGCTGCCCAACTCAGCTAGCACCATTCAAGCCACATGGCAAGTGGAGTTATTACTCAAATCAGTTTCCCTAAAGACTCAGATGTTAGGATTTTTCAAAGATAGTTTGGTAAGGAGGGGACTAAGGAATGGGTGCTGCTGATTGTTTGGAGACACAATCATGGTGATATAGGAGTAAAGAAGAAATTATTTAGGCAGATAGTGAGGGTAGGGAGTTGTTGGTATGGTTTTTCTTTTAATGAAAAGCAGCCCCCAAATCATTTTCTTTTCAAACAAAGAGCAACCTGTAAAATCTAGTTGCAGACATAGAAAGGCAAGCTAAAAACTTGTACAGGTGAATGCCAGCAGTTGTGCCAATAGGAAAGAGGCTACCTGTGAGCTAGGCATATCCAACATGGCAGCTCCATCTCCTTTTCTCTTTGCCAGCCACATGTACAGTGAGGAGACAACATGGCACTGACAAGGTGGAAAGCCCATTTAAATAATAAGATTAGGGTGAGGTGGCCAGCTTCCTAGCATGCTATGTAAATGTCACACCTGGTCCAACCAATCTGTGGGCCCTATGTAAATCAAATACTACTTCCTCAAACCTGTCTATAAAATCCAGCACACTTTGCTGAGAGCTGGAAGCACCATTCAGGTGCCCTTCTCTCTCACAGGAGAGAGAGCTGTTCTCCTTGTTCTCTCTTTTGCCTGTTAAACCTCTGTTCCTAAAACCACTTCTTGTGTGTCCCCCCATACGGGATTTCCTTGGCACAAGATGACGAACCTTGGGTATTTACCCCAGACAATGATACCACGTCAGTAGGTGTTGGAAAATGGTCATCATACACTGAGTCCACCTCTGGGAGCCACAGTACCAGCTGAGTCATGAGTCATACATTTGGGTGGTGTCAGTAGGTTGCCAGAGTGCACAGTCTAAAAAATATCTCAGTTCAATCTTAGGTTCCACAATAGTGGTGCTATCTACAGAAGTAACGGGGGCCAGGCATGGTGGCTCATGTCTGTAATTCTAGCACTTTGGGAGGCTGAGGTGGGTAGATCACTGAGGTTAGGAGTTTGAGACTAGGCTGGCCAATGTGGTGAAACACCATCTCTACTAAAAATACACATACACAAAATAGCTGGGCATGGTGGTGTTCACCTGTAGTCCCACCTACTCCAAGGACTGAGGCATAAGAATCACTTGTACCGAGAAGGCGGAGGTTGCAGTTAGCCGATATCACAACACTGCACTCCAGGCTGGGCAACAGAGCAAGAATCTGTTTTAAAAAAAAAAAAAAAAAAAAAAAAAAAGAAGGAATTGGGAAAGTTTTCAATCTTGTGATACTGGAGCAATAGTGGTTTATCATTTAATTATGTCTGTATCTTAAAAGAATTCAGACCTCATTCATAATTTTAACCTAGCGGACTTTCTTTAGTTTTACAAAGGCAGCTTAGTGTGAGAAGGGCTATGGTTATCCTTGCTTTAAGGTCAAATTATGAACTAAATTCCTCCCAACGTTAGTTTGGCCTATGCCCAGAAATAAACAAGAGCAGCTTGGAGGTTAGAAGCAAGATGGAGTCAACTATGTCAGTTTCTCTTACTGCAATAATTTTGCCATTATTTTGCAGTTTTACCAAGACAAATTCATTATCAATGAAGGTATTTCACAGCCTCAGAGCTCTCTGTAATTATAATGATGAGTATAAGTACAAAGTACCAGAAGCTATCCTATTGTCTTTCTTTGAAATATTTTATATTGTGCATTTTAGGAAACATGGAAAGAACACTGCACCCCATGGAGGAAAGTAGGGACAAAAGTATTCTTGATTTTCAAAGGCTCCCTTCTTTCCCAGGTTTCTTATGCAGTAAAAAAATAAATAAATAAATAAAAAAATAAAAAAAAATAAAAAAAGATTCTGTTTCCTTATGAGAAAACTACCTATTTAAAGAGGCTCGCAAAGGCCAAACCAAAGGTGTGTTAAAGCAGAATGAACTGCCTTTCTGAAACAAGTATTCAGACTTCTTCATTCACACATCAGCCTTCATGATATAATAACATTGCTGGTATATTTCCATTGGACGTTTTCTCTGAGCGTTCTGCCAAAAAGAGCCATTTTTAGAATTGAGAACTCATGTCTGAATTTCCTATATTTGTACACCAGCTATCACAACCTTTCACATTCTCAAGTGTGTGAAAAGACTTGAGGTTGAATAGTAAAGCTATTTGCAGGTGTAGTAGTGTCTTGACCTCAGTGAGGGTTTGCAGCTCTTGAAAACTTTTGAGGAAAGCTTTCTGTTTGATGTGGATGTTGGTGAGAGTTATTTATGTATTGTGGAGCCAGTGTAATTCCTTGGTGAGGAGAATTTTCCCAGCTAATGAGCTAGCAGTTGGGCGTAGGTCAAAGTGAATTAAAGTATAGCTTTCAAACCTGAGTAGTCACATTCAGAGCTTGTGGCCCTACTTGTAAGGGAGGGTGCTGGTGTTTCTATATATTTTTTTAAAGGAAGAAAGAGTGTGAGCAGGATCTGTTCTTTCACTATTTCGAATCCTTTGTGGCTAGGGCTTGGTCATCAATCTTCCCAGCCAAGAGACACCTATTTTCCCCTGTCTTAATTTTATTAAAGCCACAAAGGTGGAGAGGAGAATACCAATTTATTAATGTCAGATGCTGACTCAAATGGCTTATGAGCCCCAGTGTGGCATGAAATAAACCTTCATATAAAGCATGAGTCAGAGTTGGTTCTGTCAAACCTGTGTTTAGATACATGGTTGTTTTAGACATCAAGGCAGTTTATAAAATAAAATCCTTTCCTAGTTTTATATACTTGAAATGGAGATGAATATATTTTTGTTTTTATGCCCCAGCAGTTTTGATTTTAATTTTAATCCAAATGATTTTATTTTTTAATTCACTAAAACATTTTTTCCTTAAAAAATCTAGTCATCTAAAAACAGATAACTTATATCATTAAAACCCGATGATGTCTCTCTCACTCTTTCCATATATATAGGTATGTGTGTATGTATATGTGTGTGTGGGGTATGAAATTTCACTTGGAAAGCAAAAAATGTAAGTTCCTTGAACTGCATTAAGTAGGAAATTATTTTTACTTTTTTTTTTTGAATATAGGTTATTTTCTGACTGACTTCTTACTTGGATATCTCAGATTCAGATATATGGTAACCAAAATGACTTGCCATCCAAATGATGGCCAGTGCAAATGTAGGTAACTAGAGTTTTCTGTACATCCTGCATACACACACACACACACACACACATACACATTTTATTGGCATATGTATATAATATATATCCCGTATATTATATACTATCTTATCCATATATACTGCCACACACACATATAGTATATACCCTGTATATCCACTTCTTCACTAGCAGCATTCACTAGAAAACCGTATTCAGAAGAAATAAAGCAATACATAGTGACTCATAATCATATCACTTGATGCTGTTATATTGCCATGCTATAATTTGATTTTTAAATTAAGGTTACTGAAAAGAGGAGAAATTTAAATTTATTTGACACCAATTCTATACTCCATGGTTATAGTAACTTAATCACTGTAAACATACTGGAGTTATTTTTATTTGTGATCTCTATTTAATAACTATATATCTAGCATGTATTCTGTACCCCCACTCCTTGGCTCTTTGCTGGGAGAAAAACTGAACCACTCCTATCCTTACAGGATAGCCAGTCTGCTATGATGGCACCGCTCCCTGTATAATATGATTTTACCCTCAGTGTTGCTGTTCTATGTTGAATTTGTAGCAGGTCTGTCTGATCATATGCATATGCATATTATTTAAGGAATGAACTGAAAAGCAGCATGTCAGTGATTGTGAATGATAATCGTAGGCCCCTGAGACGATTCTTTTAAGAAGTTATTGGAAGGCCTGTTGGTGAAACTGAAATTCCTGGTTCCTTTTGTTTCTTAATAGAATCGGACCTGGAAGGCCTTGATGATCTAGGTACTGTTTATGGCAACATCCACCAGCAGCTGAATGAAACAATGAGACGCCGCAGACACGCGGGAGAAAACGATTACAACATCGAGGTACTGCTGGGAGTGGATGACTCTGTGGTCCGCTTCCATGGCAAAGAGCATGTCCAAAACTACCTCCTGACCCTGATGAACATCGTGAGTAGTACTTCCTTTTTAAAGCTTTGTGGTCTTTTAATTCACTCCTCTTATTTGTTGGTACCCGTTGGCAGTCTATGTGAGATCTCCCATGACTCTGCCCTGCATCCAAAATATGTATGTGATGGCATTAAATTTAAATTATTGAGCTACATATTTAAAATACAAGAATGCTAAAATAAAGGAAGGGTGAACCAAAAGTTTCTTTTGGTCGATCAAGTAGTTTTCCATTGTTTCCAAAGTGAATTCGTAAATTGAAAAAGCCATAATGAGATATAATTAAAACATGAATTGTAATATTTATTTTGTCCTGGGGATAATCAGAACTCACAGGACTTTGTCCGCCTGCTTGGATGTGTCCCATGAAGGATGAAATAGTTCTTTCCAGAATCACTCTGCTTCCCAGGATGATGTAGAATGGTTTATGCCTGGTAACTCTGTGGACTCTTGTTGTTACAGCTTTTGAACAAATGTGATTTTTTTCAACATTATAAGATAGAAAGTAATATGTTTATTAATAAAAAGCATACAACTAGCAGCACAGTACTGCACAGCAACCACTAATGGTCTCTTTAAATTTATCTTTATTTCTCCTTGGTGAAACTTAGATTCGGAAGAAATTTTGTCAATATCCTCAAACTTGTGTTCTTTCTTTTTGAATTGGCAGCGAGCTATTGAGGAGAAATGATAATATGTAAACCACCTACTTCTAAAAGATAATTGAGCTTTTGGTGTACTCTGTATATTTTACCTCATGCCAATATAAAATACATATTATATTGATCTTGCAAATTTATTACCTAAAACTATACTCTGTTTTCTTTCTCTCTACCTACCTTCTCCCACCCCAGCTTTTGATATTTAATATAATTTCTTGGATATCTATGTTCTTTACCTTTTTCCCTATGCCTAAAATTAGATTTCAAACAATTACACTGAAGGAGAAAAATTCTCAATTTCATGAAACATGGTTTTATTTATACTAACACCTGTTAATTATATTTTGGTCTATTGGCAGTTTATAAAATTACACTTATACCATTATCTCTGTGAAACGGAAAATGAGTACAGAAATTCAAACACATTTTTATTTGTTCATGGCACTAATTTCTTTTATGAATACCAAGCAACACACAGACAGCAAATTACCAGCCTTGGCAATAGATATGTATAGAGGATCATCATTTATGAGTCATATGAATGTTTTCAACTCCTCACTATGAACTTTTCATATTAACCTTTTGACTGCTAAATTTTTACTAGTTTTGTAACTTTGGCATGCTTCTTGGACTTTCTATCCTGCTTCTGTCTCCTTGTCTGCATATTGAGAAAAATAATAGGGATGTTGAGAGGATGAAGTGAGTAAATACAAGTCATCCATTATTTACAGTGCCATATGTAGATGCACAAATAGACAATCACCAGATTTTACTGCCTAAATTATCTAAAATTTCAAAATTCCTGTAGAGATGTTATTCTTATGTCATTCATTATGTCTCTGAGTTGCTTTTTTTCTACTACCTGGAAAACAATCAGTATAGACTTATTTGGCCCACAAGTGATGCCTAATAAGAAGGCTTTTGGAGTAATGCAACAGAGAATTTGATTTGGTTCTTGTCCTCATAGAACTTACCATTATTATAGGAGAAAAAATAAATACATGGGAAAATTAGGAGGAAAATAACCTAAGCAATAAAAGATATGCCATTTTAAGATATATTATAGGCAGTATATTATAAATACTATAAAACTTTAGAGAATGGAGATGTGACCATAGTCCTCCAATCATGAAGTGTTAAAAGTATTAAACTGAGATGTAGGAGGGTAAGGTCTAGTTTTAGTCCTACTACTCATTGGCTTTGTGACCTTAGACAAATCATGTCTCTTCCTAGGACTTAGTTTTCATCTTTATAAAATTGAAAGATTCAATTAGTTTATTAGTTATGTAATTTATTAAGAAGTTAGGAGTTAAACTGCTTTTAGAGATTTGTTTTCCTGTTGTCTTTTTGTTTGCTTCGTTTGTGTTTTTTTTGAAAGATGTGAAAATGTAAAGGTTTCTAGGTAGGAATGATACAATATATTCACCAGACAGTAAGTATGGTTTTAAAAGTGTCAAAGAAATAACAAAGTGCTGCATTTTATATTTTAAAAACAGTCAAGAGGACTTGTGCGGTCTATTAAAAAAATCAGATAATAGACTAAGACTCTATCTCAAATACAAATTAAAGTAAATAGAGTATCAGAGAATGGAGCTATGGGAGAGAAAATAACTTTTTAAAACAATATATTAGTTGCATTTTAAGTAATTAATATAGGTAAGAGATTTGGAGAGGTAATAATATTCCTCCTCTTCCCTCCCCAACTTCATAACCAACTGAGAGACAGACATGGAAATCACATAGATGAAGAATGAAATAGTTTTATTATTGATGAGAACTGAATTGCACATACAATTTTGTATACTTAAGTGTATAGTCAAAAGGTATTCATTATTCTAAATCAGTGGTTCTCAACTGTGAGTAATTTGTGTTCATGTCAGTTCCCAGGGACATTTGGCAATGTCTGTAGACTTTTCTTATTGTTACCATTGGTGGGTGGGGCGGGGGTGGGTATAGGGAGATGCTACTACTAATCGTGAGAGAGAGACAGAGAGGCCTGGGATGCTGCTCAGTATCCTGTAGCACAGCAGACAGCCCTATATAGCATAGAATTTTTAATTATCTGGCCCAAAATGTCAACAATACTGAGGTTTAGAGACCTTGTTCTAAATTAGACTTAGACAGTCTTATTCCCAACTTTCACCACTTTCCAACTGGACGATTTCAGGTTTTCCCCCTAGAGTCAGGCAGACAACTTTAGGCAAGACAGAGAGAAGACTAAAGTCCTCCCTCTCCCCCTTACCCACTGCCCTGTTGTAGCCTGTTAGACCCAAAATACTGGCCTGAGCAGGTTCTTTCCACTTCCTCTAATTCAGCATCAAATGAGAATGAGAAACAGAAAGAGAAACCAACAATGATACTCTAATGAAGCTACCTCATGGAAATTCAAGGCCAGGAACATTCAGTTTTTCTCTAACAATGTTCAAATAACTATCTCCTGTGCTGGCCATGCTTTATGGCTTCTCATGGTCATCTAAAATTATGGTTCACCAGGCTTGCGGCCTATATAGACATAGAGACTTAGATGAAATGTCAGATAGGGTCCTGGAGAGAAACTGTAGAAGAAAGCTAACAGCAAAAACGGTCTGTCTTTTTGCATTGATTAGGGAGAAAGGTGTCCCTACGGTAGAGAAGAGATCATGCTCTTCTTTAAAATTGTGGGGCAGCTTTGCCTTGGTTGACTACTCAGCAGATGTGCTCTTTCCTTACTTTGCCTGGTTGTCAATTTCATTTCCATATCAGAACCCAGATGATGGTTCCTGAGTTAAGGGAATACTTTTAGGTCCAAATAATTTGCTTCAGAGTATCACCTTAATTTAAACTGAGCTCCCTTTTAAAAAGAAGCTTATATTTCTTATCACATGCTTTCTTTTCTTGAAAAGAGCTCATATATTATTATTAAATGTTAAATGTATATTTAATGAGAGAAGAAATACATGAACAAATGATCATAAATAATGTAGAGGTAGATCATGTACAATCTTGGGAGTCAGAAATTTTTGACTCAAAACAAGAGAAAATAGATGCCACATACAATGATATAATGGAAGCAGTGTTTAAGAAGTAAATTAGCAATTATTATTGGGTATCATATATTCTTTCCAAGTATATTGCAAGATGGAAATTATTACCATTCTTCCAAAGAAAACAGAGACTTTAAAAATGTTAATAGAATTTAGGTAAATTAAAAAAAAATATTTACAATTCATAAAATAGTCTCAAATAATGACAATGTGATCATGCTAATCATCAAAAAAAGACAGGGTTGCTGGGAGGAGAAACTGGCTTACAACATTCAAGTTATATTTAATTTTAACTCAATCATAATTTAAGCATAATGAGAACACTTAAAACAGTATACTATATGTCAGGAGTAATGTTAAGTCCCTTTGATTTATCTGCTATTTTAAATTAGCCATATAAATTATCCATCTTTTGGATACAAATATATTTAATCTATTTCTGGGCCATATTTCATAATGATAGTGATGACTGTACATGTGAATGTGGTAAAATTCTGTCGTGTTGCCATGCAAATCTGAGTGTTTGGATGCAGGAAAGGTAGCTCAACAAGTTACCACTTTTGTCTGGGGGCTTAAGGGTCAAGTGAACAAGTTTGAACTGGCCCTAGATGGTTTTGATAAAACTTTCTAAGAAAGGAGGGATACCCTCTACTCATCCCCATTCCTTTGAGAAGCAGTGGGGAGAATAATCCGATTCCTTTCATCTGCTTTGTTTTAATCTCTTTCTACTTTGTAGATCTTGACATTTACCAAGCTTCCTATATGAAGAAGAAACACATGGATATGAATATATCCAAGGTTTTAATGTTTCAAAAAAGATTTGTCATATAGGTTAAGCCTTTCTTAGGATCCCATATCATATCTTGTTATATTAAGAAATGTTTATAGTTTTACTATTTTGGAACATGGTTGATTTGCTCAGAAAGTGGTTCTCAGCTATAGGGCATGTCTCATGCTGTAAATATTGACACTTTGTCTGCCATGTGCAAGGCCTATTTTAGGCATAGGGAATATTCCAATAAGCATGATAGAAAATTGTTGACCTCTTGGAGGTTTCCTGAATCCTCCACCAAGCTTCAAGTGAGTAGAGTTTTTAAATTTTTAATTTCCTGATCTGGTCCATAATTATCAACCCAAACCTCAACAGGAGCAGTTCTCTCAGAGGTTGTTTGTTCTTTGAGTGCAGTTACTGTATATTATTAAGCCTCATATTTACATCAAAAAGTATCTGCCATATGGTAGACGTGCAATACAATTTTGACTGATTCAGTCTTTTAATTATTTTAATGCTATATACCAGGTATATGGTGGTTAACAC